TTGTTAGAAATAAGCGTTCTTAGTGTTTGCATATATTTTAAATCACCCATATGTAATATTATTGATGTCTAGTATCATTTTAAATCTTTTTTCTTAGACAACAAGATATGTGAAATGCACAAATAAATTTTTGAATAATTATTAGTAATATAATAATAGTTATGGATTTGGTCCATTTTTTCTCTAAACATAATCAACAAATCGCTAAATCATTTTAGTGTAAAATCATGAACAAATTTCATATTATTCGTTTACAATAGCAATTCAAATTAAGACAAGTAGTACAAATTCATACTATGTTGTAAAAAAACACAATTACTATTTACTAATTATTGGCAAAATAGTCCTCATTATTACAAAAAGTACAATAAAAACCATACGAATTTACTGATCATCATCGCCGCTGTCATCGAGCAGTTCATCTTCTAGTACATCCTTGTTGTGACCGCTGTGTTCCAACTTTTGATAGAAGTCATGATAGATGGGAGGAATATACTTTAACAGTTTCATTAAATCTGAGTATTTTTCTTTGCTCAGTTTTTTTGCTCCACAGTACAATGGAGCCAAACTCACTTCACTAAGATTCGTTTGACGTCCGCGTTTCGCTAGCGAAATGAAACTGAATGATGCGTCATCATCTAAAGAGTATTTAAAGAACAGTTTGTATGGCTCGTTCTTTCTAAGTTGCAGCCATTGCATATCCAGCCAGTTGACCTTCTGATCACTCTTATCCACTTTCTGATTTGTAATTAATTTCAATAAGGGCTCCACACTCTTGAAATTATCAGTGCTTAATCTTGCAACAATGAAGCGCTTCTTCATAGAGCAGTTCTCGATCAATTTGTACCACTGTTCTGGCACGAAGATCTCTGTGGATTTTGGTTTTGCTCTCTCAATTATTCCAAAATCTGCATCGTTAGGCAAATAAGAATGCCCAGAGACCATAAACTTATGATTCACCAGTTCAATACTCGTCGTCTGCGTCAAATGCATCCATAACAGTGCAATTTTTATATTTCGATTTTGGCCGCCGCACGAGTCGCTGAATGCTGTAATAGACGTAATATCCCTATTTGCCAGATTTTGACAATATGCCAATAAGCATGAACCATACATTCATCACTGCATTGTCATTTTTAAGGTCATGAATGCCTAAATTATACACTGATAATTGCCGGCAATAATAAACTTCATTGATTGTAAGGCAAGGCAATAACATGACCTTTTGCAGGTCAAAACAAAAAGATGCATAATGTTCGTTTAATTTCTTAGCTTTTTGTAACGTTCCGCCATGCTTTACATATTCGCTACCTGTATTTCGTAAGCGCTTAATCACATTTTTCTTCCAGTTCGTTACACAACGTTTTCGTTTTCGAAGGCGTTGATCGGTTACAATCGGAGATTCAGTTGTTACAATCGGAGATTCAGTTGTTACAATCGGAGATTTAACTGCTACAACCGGTGAATTATTGGCTACAATTCAGCTGCTAATGTAGAACGTTCTGTCTGTATATCTGCTGCTAAGTTAGGATCTGCAATTGTTGTATCTGTAGCTAGAGATTTTTGAACCTTCTTGCACTTTATCAATGCCAGTGACACCATGTGTGCGGCTCGTGAATGCATGTTTACACTATTCTACAATAAATATTTTTTAAATATTACATACATTCAGAATAGTATTAGAAAGAATAATGTACATGTACACAACATGCATGCAAGTGCTCCCCTAGCTAGATGTTATTAAAGCCACAAAATTGACCTTTCTAAAGAGGCTGTAACTTTGGTAGTGACAGACCATTATATCTACTGTCTAACAAACCAATATTTATATTCCTGCTGAGAGCAATTGAATAAATCTTATATTATCGCTCACCAAACTATTTCAGTTTTGTCACTTTATAAAGTGTGAAAGTGCTGTATACTTCACTATATTAATATAAAACCATAATCAGATATTCATTTAAAGCATCTTACCTGTACAAATGTTATTCTTGTTCTAATATAATAATAATAATATTTCTAAGAAAATTTGTAGTTTATGTGGTCTTGAATCTTGATTTCTTACATTAATGCACTATCAATGGACTTGGTCCACTATTACTCTCTATACCTGGTGATTTATTGTTAGAGTAAAAATGTGCTGCCCTCTGTTGAATAAGAAACAAATGTGTTATGGACTTGGTCCATTTATGCTCTGAAAATATAGCAAATTTTTAGCAGTTTTACATAGATAAGGGTCATTTGAAAAAAATTGGACATGGTCCACTTTTACTCTCATAGGTTCATATGTAGAGAATGAACTAGAATCTTGATAATTGAATGATTATTTATTGATTGCTAAGTCTTTTTTGAACCTTATCCCCCTAGAAATTAGTCAATTTTCAGTTTTTTGGGACTTAAAAGAAATATTTTTGTTTTTATATTATGATCTTAGTTCATCCTCCTCCTCATATATCAGAAAATAATATTGCAAAGTACCAAGTTGTTTTAATTAGCCGTTCTGAAATAATCGTGTTTTGAAAACTAAAATAAAATATGCTTTTTTGATGAACATTGAAATCAGTTAAAAGAGAACTTTTAAACGATACCTTGAAAAAAACTCTCTTCACATGTGTTTCCAGTATTCAATTATGTTCTTAAAGTATGGTACTTGTGTCGCAGATGTGCACGAATATCTTAAGTGCGCCCGTGGCGCAGTGGTTAGAGCGCTTAGTATAGACTGTTAGTATAGAAGTGCTTAATCCAGCACATCTTCGTTGGTAATTTAAACATTGCGAACATTTATGATTTTTCAAAATTCTATAAATTTATTACGGATTGTTGTAAATATTTTAAATTATTGACGACTAAAATAAACTAAAGTAAACTAAACTTAAAAAAAGGAAAATTAGACAGTGTTTGCAGTCTTGTGTTACACACTCAAACAACCTTCAGTATTTTAATGACATTAACTATATTTCTACTTTTTTAAATCGTGTTGTGCTTTAAAAATACCAGACACATACAGAACTAAATGAACTAAATCAATGTTTACTCGTAACACTATTATTTTTTCAAAGTTTGTGTTTGTTGGTCTTCTGTAAAAGCAAACAAAGATTTATATAAGTACATAATCTACATTTTATTATTTAAATGCTTATACCATGGGTTGGCAACCTGCTGCTTGCAAGCAGGTTGTCAACTCCTAGCATAAACATTTGATGTTAAAATTTCAATGTTATAATGTGGCTCTCGAGCTCCATGCACAAATACTATTATAATATTGAAAACAAAATGTTAGTAGCTCTTTAAAAACTGGAAAATTTTTATAAATTACAAACTGTGGCTCTTCCGTCTTAAAAAATTGCTAACCCCTTGTTTACACAAATTATCAAATGCATTATTTTGTTATACTAGACTTTATTAGAATTAGTTTGCTTTCAATGCGAAATTAGATTGTGTTTAAAGTTAAAGTAAGGAGGATTTACACATTCACGTTTTGTGACTCTGCACTGTACATAATTTATGATAAAAATATTATGATAAATGTTTAACATTTTCTAGGACTAGGTCTGTAGACGGGTAAATTGGTCATTAGAGTTATCCCAAATTACCCAAATGCTAACGTTATCCATGCAAAAACAGCATATATATATATATATATATATATATATATATTATATATATATATATATATATATATATATATATATATATATATATATATTCCATAACTTACAGGTTATATATATATTATTTAAGTTTGCAATTACTAATCGTAATTTAACAACTTAAAAATAAAAACTTGTTTTGTGAAGGAAGATCTTGAAGATCTTATCTAAAATTTTAATAGTTAAGATTTCATAGTAAAATTTTAGAAAACCCCGAGGAATACTCTCCTCAGTTAAAGTTTTAATGTTTTTTTTTTTTTTTTTTTTTTTAACTCCATAACTGGAATATTTTTTTTTTAATGAAATAATATCGACTTACAGTTTTTCGATTTGTTGAGTGAATTTAATTTTTTTCCTATCCTATCATGCACTGGAAGAAGTTTAAACTAAGACTCCTGGTTAAAACTTAATTCAACTTTTAAATTAATAAAATTTTTTAAATATATATAACTATCTAAAATTATAAACGCTTGTTCTGAACAAAAAGTGAATTGGAGTAAAAGTAATTGCTACATGCAACACACTTTGACCAAGTGATCTTGGTCCAAGAGTGTTGCGTGTAATTTTTTTTTTAAAACATTTTACTTTTAAACACTTTTTCTTGAAGTTGTAAACTACTATTACTACTATTTAAAAATGTTGTTTTATTTTTTCATATTTAAAAAAAAAAATTTATAGAAGAAAGGGGGGGGAGGGGGATAAATTACTGTTGACGTAATTTTATAGGGGGTTCTCTGTAAGTTTGCCTAGTTGTTGACAAGGGGGAGATGGAGGTAAAAATTGCAAGAAAATTGTTGACGTAATCAATAGACAGCCTCTTTTTTACTTCATGCAACTTTTTGAAAATTATTTATTTAACTAAAATTATGGTTGCATAATTAGAATATATGATTATGATCATTTATATAATAAACCTTTTATTTTTTAAATTTAAATGCAAATTCTTTTATCAATAAGCAATTTAACCCATTATTTTTAAATGTTTGAACTTACTACCAGGCCCGCAGCAACAGGTTGGGCAGCAGGAACATTTGCCCCCACCCCCATAATTTTTCAAATAAATGATTTTGAAGAAATTGATTGATAAAATGGCTAAAATTGAAAAAAAAAGGCCTTTAAACTATTTCGGGGTAGACTACCACCGTTCTTCCCCCCCCCCCCCCTCCTAATACAACTTTTGTTCCTACTTACTACAAAATAATATATATTAGTGTTTAAATTATTGCATCTACCTGTTGTGTTGTGATTATTATTGCTGTTGTTATAATGATTTATTATTAATATAATTCTGAGGATGACATATTTTTTTTATTTGATCAAATGTGACATTTTTCTTGATCAACGATGCGTTTAACGATGTTATACTTGAAAAAATAATGACACAAAAATGGTAGCGCGGAAATATAACGAAATGGCCGCCCTATATTACGTTTTAGTGTTAGCATTTGCATTTGCTCAATTAGTTGAGGGATTTCATTTTACAACGCCATTAATAATTTGGAAAAATACGAAAAAGTATAAAAATTTTAGTATTATTTAAAAATAAATCATTCTGTTATATGCTAAATGAACTTTTGTTTTATGTTTATAAAATGGGTTATATAACAAGATATGTGATAAGTATTATTAAAAATGAAAATGTTTTAACTGCTTTTTTTTCTAACCCTCTTATATATTTTATTAAGTTAAGTAATTGTTGTTTACTGTGTAAGTTTATTAAAATTAACTTGATAAATTCAGTTAATTCGGGAACAATTTTAGTAAATTCGGGAACAAGGAGTGGAAATATAAAAAAAGTTTACAATCGTTAACTTTTTTATATTTTATTTCCTATTTGTATTTAAAAATTACTTTTTATAAAGTTTTTATTGCAAAATTATATATTATTATCATAAATATGTATGATAAATAACACATCAATATTAATATAAAAAAAATTAATATGGATGTGTTATTTATACATATTTATAAAGTACTAAAATATAGCAATATTTCAAAATACTAAAATGTAACTCATAAAAAGGGTTTTTTTTAGCAACAGATTTAATTTAATTTCAACAGGGTTTTCATTTCCATTATTTAAATCTACTTTTCCTCTCATTTGACCACAGTTTAACCTATAGGTTTTTTGGTAACTTAAGTTGTTAGTTTAAGTTTTGGTATTTTAATCTATGTGTAGCACATTAAGCTGGGTGTATATGCAGGAGCATATGCTAAATTTTTTGATGTTTAAGAAAGCTAGCTTCTAAACATGGAGCAAACTCTTAACATTTAAATGTTTATACTCATGTCAAATAAGAATACTTTGCCAAAAATTGTAGTGGTTGAAGCCTAAGAACAAAAAAGCTCCATTCTTCATCATTTGTTTATCACAACAGAATAGAAATAAGACTTAAGGACTAAATTTGGGCTTAAATTATTAACAAAAGATAACATGAAACAACACATGAAAAAATTTAATCACTGTATAATTTTTTTTTTTTTTTGTATACAGTAATTAAAGTGAAGTAGGATGCCATCCTGAAATCTTTTTAAAAAATATAAATCGTATAGTTACCTTTTTATGTCATCCTTAATCTAATGATTCTTAGAAAGGGTGGTATTTAAATTTTATTAAATACAATTCCATTACTTTTTTTTCCAACTTTAAATACTGCATACGGGTTTTTGTAAACCAGAAATCTTTTTAATTACTGATTTTTAGTATCCAATCCATGTAAACTGTAGTTTTTTAGCATTTTGAATTTTCATGAAATGACAAAATGATAATCAAAACATTTGTTAGTAAAACATTAATTTTGAATTTCTTCAGTTTGTCTTTAATATTTTTAAAACCAAAATTATTGAGGATTGATTCAATAAACAAGATGAACTTTATGTGTATATATTAGTACAAACCAAAAAACCAAATTACAAATCAGTAATAGTTGACTAAGTTTTTAAAAGAGTGTTGTACAGTCAATGTAAGTTCTTGTTGTAAATTACTGTCTATATCTAGTTTTTAAAACAGTAAAAAACCTTTGAAAATTCAAAACAATAATTGCAATAATAGATAAATTGAAACAAAACAAAATTTTTTTTGTAAAATGGGTCTCCTGTAATATATCAGCAAAAAAAAACTTTTTCTATGTCTGCATTTACATATTGTTTCACTCTTTATTGAACAAATTTGGTTATATGAAGAATATAGTTTTTAGTTTTCATTAATATAATCAAACCCTCGGAATTAGGAAAAATGAGGTCGGCAAAAATTTGCTGACCTTAAACACTTTCAGGTCCTATTCCAAAGGTTGTATAATAGTAATAATAATATGCAAAAGGTTTTTCCTTTTACTACAAAAAGCAATTGGGTCTGGTAAATTTTACAAGAGATAAAATTCAACATATAAATGGTTATTTTGAAGACCACGTATTATTATGAAATAAAATCAGCTCTAAAACTCTTCAAACTAAGTTTTAAAGCTGTACCCTCTAATAGAGTTGCATAGCAACCACAAAGCAAGCACAACCAAATAATATCGAGTATAGTAAAGAACTAATCTATTTGATGAAGAAAAGGTGCAAGACTGATCAAAAGAAATTTTATACTTACCCCTAAAATCATATCCTTGAAGGCCTTCTACAAGACAGTATTTAAATGCAGTTAACACTAAAAATATTTATTTTTATTGAAATATTGTAGTGATATTGATTTTTAGTTTTAATTTATTAATAGCTTTGCTAATTATTGGCAAAAGTCATGTTGTATTTTTACTATTTTTAAATTTATGATATTATTTTGGTATATTTTATATCTAAAGATTATTTTAAAGTTGCTAATTGTTAACAAGAGTTACAAATTATATTTGTATGTTCTATTGTCACGGTTAATATATATAGGGAATAATTTTTTTTTTTTAAAGAAGGTTAAAAGAGATAAACAAATAGAAAAATAACAACAATATGGCCTTAGTATGCGATGAAGAAAAGGTACTATTCTTAACCAAGACTCCTAAAGCAGGGAACTATTGTATATCAGAGTTAAATTCTCTTAGCCTTTCCTTAAAAACTATAAAATATACCAAGAACCAGTACCATCAGGGACTTCATAAAATATTAGAAACTAAGAGACATAAAATGGAACATTAGAAACTATATGAAATATAAGATAATACACAAAAGTATCTGGAAGTTATTATATTAAAAACAATTAGGATTTAATATAAAATATATTATAGTTTTAAAATATCTGCAATAGTTTAATTAACTAAAATATTAAGAATTTTCTCCAATGTATGATGCTTTTTACTGCACTTTTTTGAGCTTTTTAAATAATAAATTTTACAAACAATAATATTGAAAATCTACAAAAAACAGTTATAGGAATGAATAAAGTTTACAAATTTAATATATATATATATATATATATATATATATATATATATATATATATATATATATATATATATATATATATATATATATATATATATATATATATGTCTATATATATATATATATATATATATATATATATATATATATATATATATAATATATATATATATATATATATATATATATATATATATATATATATATATATATATATATATATATATAAAATATACTTATATATAAATATAAGTATATTTTTAAATATATCTAAGTTTTATACTTTAAAATATAAACTTACAAAAATATATTAAAAGATGTTCAAAAGTAACTATTTTTACTTCTGTATTTAATTTTTATTAAAACTTGGTATTTTAATAAAAAACTCTAGGTTTAATTGAATATGCTTGTCTTACCCTCAATTAAGTCCAGGCTTTTGCATAGAAGATATGCTGCCACACACCTAATATATACATACACATACACTTTGATTTTAAAAATGCACTAAAAAAAAACAAAGCAAACTTAAATTAAAATAAACAGTCCTTAAACTGAAAAAAGAAAATCTAAAAATAAAAAATACAAAAATTAAACTAAAAAAAAAAAATTTAAAGAATGACAAAAAATTAAAAAATGTATTATTTAATATATACTTAATTGTAAACAAAAGTTAAAAAAGTTATCACACAAAATCAATCTTTATCATTATCTCCCATGAATAAATAGGCTAATACAAGTCCGGATACATAGTGAGGGTCAGGACCATGAGGGCATCTGCCCCCCTACCCAACGTAACCTAGTCTTTTTAAAATTGTTTAAAAACATAAGTAAATTAAGCTGTTTATAAGTGCCATGAAATTTAATAAAATTTTGTAGTGCAAATAAAATTTTGTAATTTTTATTTATTTTATCATGGAAAAATAACTAATAAAATTTTTTTTTTACATTACAAATACATAATTTTTTTTACAAATAGATTTGAAAAAATTTCAGACACATCTGTTTTGTTCCTTTGCTTGTATTGAATATCGTTGCTGAAAAAGCACATTAAGTATAAGAAAACAAAGTAGTTACAATAACTTTTAAGTAATTAATTTCGCATCTGCAAACAATTTTTTATTGATCCTAATAACTTTTTTATAAAATTGAAAGTTTGCACTACAAAGTTTTATTAAATTTCATGGCACTTATAAACAGCCTATTTTACCAGTGTTTTTAAATTTATGCATTATGGTGTAGTGGTAGAGCGCTTGCTTGATAAGTGAGTGGTTCCAAGTTCGATCCCCACTACATCCCTGGCGCGGTACACATTTACATGGTATTACATGGGTTCAAATCCCACCACTGTCCATTTTTTCAATTGTTACTCTTTCAATTACCGCTGGTCATATATTTGCTTTGTAATCATTTATCTTTTTTTTTTGTATTTAAATCTTTTTTGTATTTAAATCTTTTTTGTATTTAAATCTTTTTGTTGTATGTTTTGAAATGATACACATCTCTTCTAATTCAGATTTTTTATACCATTTAGGCCTTCAGTGTAATTTCTAAGCAGGGCTGTGGAGTTGCGACAATTTTAGCAGAGTCGGAGTTGCTAAACAAAATCGCGACTCAGGCTCCAATAGTAAAACTTCGTGGTATTGAACGTGCATGTACAAAATATTTATTTAACCTTATGTTCATACTAAACCTCAAAGAACATTTCATAAATTTGTAAAAAAAAAAAATTTAACTTATGGTGTAATATTTTAAAAATTTTGCTTTGAAGTTGGAGTCGAAGTTGCACTCAAAAAATTTCAACAACTGGAGTCAGAGTTGTACTCAAAAAATTTCAACAACTAGAGTCGGAGTTGTTACTTTTTTTTAACGATTCCACACCCCTGTTTCTAAGTAAGGCACACACATGTATAGTTTATAAACTTCAATTAGGCAATATGATCTAGACATTTTTCATATAGCTTTAATTGTTTTATTATCTGTATGTTTAGTTCTACCTGCCTCTTCCTTTTAGTATACAATGTTATTGGTGAGTAATTATTAATAATAATTATTATTATTATTATGCTATTATTAATAATAATTGTTAATAATTGTTTATATATCAAGCTTGGACAGGAATGGCGTGCGATCGAGGGCTATTGCTGACCACGCAAATGATTTTATTTCTTGACAACTTGACCACAATTGTATATATGTTTTAATGAATTAAACATTTCAGAAATGCGCTTAATGTAGAAATGCTAAGCTAAACTTAAACTAGGAAAAAAGTATTATATAAGCACTATAATAAAAATAAAAACTTAAATTCGAAGCGAAACTTTTTTACGTTTTTAATCGCATTTGAAATAAATCTTTTTAAACTCTTTATTAAAGTTACGCAAAACACTTTTAAATTAACAAATTACTACTAACGATTGTTTTATAAATGAACAATTTTTATCAAATTTATTAAAAAGTGTTGTATGTAATATTTTAAAATTGTATAAACATTCATTTTTTCAAAAAAGTTGCACAAAAAAATTGTTTAAAAAAATAACCTAGTCTTTTTAAAATTGTAATTTTTATTAATTTCATGTTCTATATATTAATAAGTCTAGTTGAAAAAAAGGTTTCCAACTCTTTTATTTGTAAAAATAAGACAAAAAAAAAATAAATAAAATGCGCCTGGGATTTAAATTAAATAAACTGCCAACAAGCAATTTAATTTAATTTTAATTTGAGCATTGTAACTTTATTATTAAGCGATTCACTTAACGAATTTAAAAATTATTATAAATGATTTTAACTCATTCATTCCTATCGTAATTGGAATATAAAAAATAAAAAATTGTTTTTTAAAAAATAAATTGTTTTTTAAAGATTTAAAAAAGTTGTAAGTTATAAAAATTAATCGTATGAACATTACAAAATACTTCAAAACTTTTCCATTTGTCAACAAAATACATGCTTATATAATAAATAAAGTTATTTTATATTCTTGTATAATTTACATAAAATGTGTAAAATCTAGTAGTCACAAAAGGTTTTGAACTTGATCATAAATTAAAGTAACTTAAAAAAAATCTTTCTAAAATTAATGCTTTAAAAGATTTTTAAGAAGACATGGCAAAATAGTTTCTAACGTTTAAATTTATCATGCCTACACAAAAAATAATTAATAAAAACATTTTTTTATTAATTTACACATGCGTTTATGTAAATAATCATTAAAAATGATTATATGGTTTTATTTTAAAGCCTTTCGTGTAAAATAAAAACTTTAGAAAAGATCAACGATTAAAAAATATTCATAGCGTAACACTTTTAATTGCATTTAAATTGTTAAAACATCAAAATAACCGTGGTCAAGTTGTAAAGAAAAAAAACTATTAGCGTGGTCAGTTACAGAGTGGAATCGTTCACCATTCCTGTTCAAGCCTGATATATACTTCACCAATAACATATTAGACCAAAAGAGAGGGGGAAAGAAAAACAAAAAAAAATTCGGAAAATGTGGGATTCGAACCACGGACACTCCAGGATGAAATAAATACCTTATTTAAATAAGCTAAATGTGCGTATGTTTGAGACAAATAAATATAATTATATAATGAAAAATGTTATACATAAAAGTATACACATGCATTTCATTGATGTTTTCATATAGGGACAATATATACTTGTTATATTAAAATTATACAAATAAATTTTTTAAACAGATAGCTATTTATATTTTCACTTTCCTCTATTTAAAAAAAAAACACAAATAAAATATAGGAAAATCATTCTTTTTAATGTTGACTTGAAACCAAGCCTTCCCGGGAAATGCGTGCAGTTTTTCATCTTGTATGTCCACTTGCAAGTATTTTATTTTAGACAACTTGGTCATGGCTATTTGTAATTTTTTTTTTTATATTAAAATTGTGGAAAAAAGTTTCAAAAATAAATGGCTTAATTGAAGCTTAAAAGCTATGTATATGTGTGTGTGCCTTACTTAGCAAATATACTGAAAGGCTTAAATGGTATAAGAAATCTGAATGTGAATAGATGTGTATCATTCAAAAACATACATCAAAAAGAAAAAGTAAATATAATACAAAGCAAATATATGACTAGTGGTATTTAAAAGAAAAAAAATTTTAAAATATAGATTGTGGTGGAATTGATCCTCAGATATTTTACATACATAGTAAATGCCTTATCCAAGTAAGCTAGACCTGCACATACTTATAAACAAATAGATGCAACTGTATAATAAAAAAATTATACATAAAAATATATGCATGCATTACATAGACTTATTCATATAGGGGTAATATATAACTTGTTACATAAAAATTATACAAATATTTTACAAACAGATAATTTATATTTTGGCTTTCCTCTTTAAAATAAAAACAAATAAAGTATAGAAAAATCATTCTTTTTAATGTCGACTTTTTTTTTTTTTGCTTTGCCTTATCAAATTTTGCCTCATTTAAAAATTTGCCTCATCCAAAATTGTTTTTTTTTTGCTTTGCCTTTTACAATTTCATTGCTGAAATTAATAAGCACCCCACAGTAGGGCAGACGTAATGAAACATTTTTTGGTGGTAATGTATAAAAGAGTCTCTGGTTCATCTTATCCATGTGTTTTTTTTAAGGGTAGGATTGACCTTTAACCCTGTAGAAACCATAATCTAGCTCAATTCTTTTGTTTAAAAATAACTCACTTGCGCAAATTATTAGTACTACTTTGTTTTTATAGTGTTAAAGCTTAAGTTTGTTAAAAGTTCCAATTTTTTTTTCATGGATTCTTCAATTTTAGGCTTGCAGCTTTTGCTGATTATAAACATCTTTTGCTAATTTTAAAGTTAATAAGACTTTCAAAAAAGTGCATTTAAAATTTTTTCAAACAATACGTTTTTTTTTATGTCCTCACTTTGATACAAATAAAACTAGTTAAGTTTTCAAGTAACTTTTTTTAAGTTACTTTACATTAAATCAGAATTACTGTAATTTATTTTAGTGAATCGATTAGAGTACCTTTTTATATTACTTATTCATGCAAGTTTTTTAAAATACTTAACTTAAAATTACTTGAAAATACATTAAAAACATCTGACAATTGTAAATATATGTTTAAAAATCTATGGAGTCTATTGGAATATCTAATTCCTAAGTCTAACAAGTTTTTTTGTTTGTTTAAAAAATCAATTTTGTAAATAAACACAAAAAATCAATGGCATCATGTAATAAAATGCGCTTGAATAAATTATTAAGTCTGTAGATTGCGGCATATATTATAAAGACTACTTGACCTACAACAAGACGAAAAAAGTAAGCTTTAATGACTTAAAAAAAAAATTACTTTAAATCTGATTTTTTAAGAACAAACTAATTTCCAGTTTATTTCTTGCATTACACTTTAGTCAGTCATCAGATTTATAGTATAACTTGAAATTTCAAGTTTGCTTCTTGCATTCGGAAACAATTTTTGCTTTCTTAAGCTGGTTTTTAACTATAAGTTGTGTTCAAGTTTTCTATTTGCATTTGCTTAAGTCAAATTTCAGATTTAAATTACGACTTCAAATTTCAATTTTGCTTTTTGCATTCCTTCCTTAATGTTTAGTTATACATAAAAGAAAATAAATATGTAATGCTTGGATTTTTTTTTTAATTCGTTATTCATTGTTTGCTTTTTCCAGGTTGGTTCCTGAAAATATATTGGCTGGACATACATATAAGGCATCTGATGTATTTGAAAAATATATTCAACAAGAGTTAAACCAAGAAAACAATGTTTTTGTTTTTATTCAAGATGAGGTAAATTAAATTAGAATTTTATCCGGGTTGGACAGGAATGGCATGCGATCGCACGCTGTAACTGACCATGCTTATAATTTTTTTTCTTTGCAATTTGACCACAGCTGTTTTGATGTTTTAACAATTTAAATGCAATAAAAAAATTGTTACGTGTAAAAAAAATTTATATTTAATTTTTTATGTAGGCATGTATTTTTTATGATAAATTTAATTGTTTGTAATTATTTTTCCAATTTTTTTTAATAAAAAAGTTTACCTGCCAAGCCAAAACATCAAGTCAATATATGTATGCTTCTCAGATTTTTTACCTACTTAAGTCAATGCATGTACACTCTGCTGTGCCAATCCTTGAATAAATTAGTCAATAAAAAAAATAAAATTCAATAGTAAGAACTGTATAAACTTTAAAAAAAAAAATAAAAACATGTGCATTTTGCATTTAAAAAAATGTTATTTTCATATTTCTAATTTAGCTCAGCATGGATGACTTTATGAAGTATCCAGATTCGTTTAACTATTTAAAGTATGCCATTGAGAACCACGGTGCACTTTTATTTCCTGCCGTATCCCAAAAGCAACAAAGTTTTATCAAGTTAATTCAAAATCATTCAGCTCAAAGTGTAGAAGAAATTTTTTCTTCTGATTTGTCTGATTGGAAGTATAACTCACAATCCAAGTCACATGTTTACATTTTTCATTTGGATCCTGTTATTGGTGCTGAACTGAAGAAAGATATTTTGTTACAAAATAACAAACACATCAAAAAGATTATCAGTGAAGTTGATGAAATCAAAAAACCTTATTCAGTTGTTTTTACCTCGCAGCAGCCATCACAGGTATAATTGAAGGTGCATTTATTAGAATTAATTTGTTTCACAATATTTTCAATAAAGTATTTGTTACTGACCATGGAAATAATATTTAGTTGCAAAAAACTGGCCAGAGTCGTTTTGAGAACATTTCAAAAAGCAAAAAAAAAATGCGCAAAAGCTTAATTAGAACGACTAGAGACAGTTAAAAAAAAAAATTAGGAAAATAAAATATCTTTTAACGTGAAAAAACTTAAAGCAAAATAAATTATGTTTAGAACAAATATTTTCGAAACATTGCTCTTTTATAATTTTTTTATAAAATTAAGTGACGTTTTTTATATAAAGTAACATCGTACGATTGTTTAAAAAGGAAACAAATGTTATTTATTTAACAAAGAGTGTAATATAACTTTTATTTATATAGTCGTGTCTTATTTAGTGCTTGATTAAGGAGGGTTAGAGTTAGAGGGGGCTATAGACCCAGGCCTGCAATGTTAGGGCCCCCAAAAAAGTCAAAAAGACCTTTTTGTTTAGTCATTTTTAGGCTGTGGCACATACAAAGGCAACCAAAATAAAAATAGCCCCTGGCCCTGAAAATTCTAACAAGATTCTAATAAAACTAACGCAAGTTTTAGTTTTATCTAAGCTGAATTATTTTATAAATAAAAAAGTTAATTTTTTTAATACCTGTTTTATGCTTCGTGTAGTTTAAAAAGTTTAACATATTTGAAACAATTCTTCTTAGTAAAATTGAATCATTGAATTACTATAGAAATTAAATTAACTAGATAGAAATCAACTAAAAAGGTTAAAATTACTTTATGACAACGAAGCGAAACTGCTTCACAATATCGCTGATGTTTAGTGAGTGGGCTTTATAATTTTAATTAGTATTTAAAGCAGAAAAAAGTATGACGAGTTTTTATAAATCGCAACTGAAGCGAAAGTAATTAGAGTTAGTAAACCAATATCTAGAAACTTTACTTTATATCTAATAACTTGCTATATATATTTGAGTTCTGTCATGTCCTCAAGCGCGGTGCTTGTTCATTCACGAGTTATATTGTATGCATTGTTTGTGTTTAGTAACCAGAAACTTATTACATGTTTGTTACGTAATTAGTTTTATTAATTTTGATGATTATTAATAGCTTCATCGAAAACGCAATTATTTTGTAAGTCTTTGTTTACAAATGAAATCATAAAAATTGCTTTAAAAGATTATATTACGATAAAAAACAGATACTCAAACTTACATTTGCATAACAAATACATACTTTTTAAATAAAAAATTAGAATATAATAAAATCTATAATTTATAATAAACTTTCAAAATTGACAATTTATTTAAAAATATATATTTTAAATAGTGATCGACCGGAAATAATATTCTGCCAGAACCGAACTGAAAATCAATTTTTATTATTCGTTACCGGAACAGGAACCGAAACTGGAACCAAAAATCAATAATATGTATTGTTTTTTAAAGTTAGTTTTAAATTAAGCAAAATATTAAATTAATAAAAATAATTAATAACAGAATCCAACAATTGGAAGATTTTCTCGACAAAATATAATTTTTTCCAAGTTAGCTAGATGAATTCTGTTTCTTTCCTTTGAAAGAATATCTCCAGCTGTAGAAAACAGTCTTTCAACATCTGTTAATGTTGGAGGTGGTGTGAGGTACTTTTTTGCCACCTTAGTCAACGTTAACTTGAATTTGCATTTTTTTTTCATAGCTTTTCCAAAACTCAAATCATTTGTTGAAGACGAACGTGCATTTGGTCCTATTTGAGTTTGAGATTGCGCAATAATTTTTGACATTTTATGAACAAACGATGCGTTTTTTTCATTGTCAGCAAATAGAATTTAAGTTGCAGGAGCCAATTTATCTAGAGGTTCAAAATTGTCCATTCGGGACATGACAACGTGTTTAGCTTTTTGCAAGGCACCTTGAGATCTGAAAAAATACCATTTGTATCTTGGATCGATTAGAGTAGTAACTGAGTAATGCTCTGTGTTTTAAATTGCTGAAAAACATTTTTCCATTGCATTTTTCATAGCAATTTTCAATTCCTGAACACTGATATCGCTAAAGGTTGTTTCCAAAGCTTTAATTAACTTTAATTAACTTTGATCGAACACTTTATAGATTATTTAAAATTAGGATTAAAGTTGGATTTTTTAAATTAAATTCCGGTGTTATTAAAGATTTTGGCGGTAACCAAAATCTTTAATAACATCGGAATCGGAACCGAAAAATCTTGTCAGAGTTGTGGCCGGACCCGAAACCGAACCAAATTTCAGTCGATCACTAATTTTAAAACATTTATTTTTGTAAACAAATAATAATAGTTTAAGAGATTTACGGCTTTGCAGATGTGGCTCCGGGAATGAGCCATAGTATTGATAATATATTCTTAAAATAATTTATGCTAGAAATCTTAAAACGTTTTATTACATGATGCCATTGATTTTTTGTGTTTATTTACAAAATTGATTTTTTTTTTGCATATATTAAAAATGACACATTTAAAAAATGCGCTGAAAAATCAAACTAATTATTTATCTTATTGTTTTTTTTTTATTAATAATAATTTATTATTATAATTATTTATGAGAAAATAAAAACCTAACAATAATGCACATATATATATATATATATATATATATATATATATATATATATATATATATATATATATATCAGGCCTTGTGATGAATAAAAACTGCACGACGCATAAGCACGACTTGATTTTTGACGTCATTAAATTCTTTTTATTTGCTTTTCATATTAATTGACATTAACTGCACCAATTTACTTAATTACCGCAAAACTACTTTAAATCATTAATGTAGAAATCTTATTATTTAAAAATGTTTTTGAATGTTTCGTTTTTTAAAATGTAAAAGCATTTGTTTATTTTCTCGACGTCTGACACGTTTTGTCTATACTTAACGAATAAAAAACATTATAACTAAACATTTAAAAAAGATTATAAAATATGCTAATATTTGATTTTTTTTTTTTTTTTTTCAAATATGTAATTTAATGTTTTTCAAATAATTACTTTTTCTTTTTAAAAAGTCAGCGAGTAATAAACTAGAAATTTTAATATTGTACGATTAAAAACTGTGCAATAGCTAATATTTTTACTAGCGATTTTATATATTTTTAAATTTATTTTTATTTATTTTCATAAAGTGGTTGATAAGCACAATCACTCGTATTACTAAAAAACTTTAATGAACGTTTTAAATAGATTTTTAATGTTTACAAGGAATTTTATTTTTGGTAAAATAAAATAAAATATTAGAATAAAAATCTTATAGGTATAAAAGACATATTTTAGCGAAAAAATTATTCTTAAAAATTATTATTAAAAATTATTCGAAAAACTATTGACGTTCTATTTTTCAGCAGCTGTTCTTGAGCATGCTTCATTAAGTTTTGATAACTTTTAACAAAAAAGCGATTGTTATTGCAGGCCTTGTTTTAAAGCGTTACGCCTAGAGCGATTTACGTACGCCTTAAGCGCTTTTTACGTACACGTAGAGCTGTTTTGGTTAAGCTACTTTTTATCATTTTTTAACTTTTAAATTAGCGGTAACATAAAAGAAGTAATTAATTTTCAAAAAAACATTAACTTTTAAATTACGTTAACTTTTAAATAACATTATGTAAAGGTATTTATTAAAAAAAAGAATTTACTTTAAAAATAATTATTGTAACTTTTTATTGCAATATATCTTTCCTTTTTATAGCAATTAATTTGACGCTAAACTTTTTATCCAAATATTTAGCAACATGAAAAATTGTTTGTCAATCCTTAACTACAAATTTTTTGCAATGTTTTTAATAAAAAGTAATTTTTTAAAGTTTTTAATAAAAAACTTTTAAAAAATCTATATTCCATATTTATTAATACAGAATATAAAAGTTTTTTGTAATATAGATTTTTTATGAATTTTTTATTGAATTTATAATAAAAAACATTTGCAAAAAAATTTGTAATTAAGAATTGACATTTTTTTTTATAAAATCTCAAAAAATGTCTTAATATTTTTGTTATCATGATAACAAAAATATCAAGACATTTTTTCAAGATGTTAAAAAAAATGTCTTTGCTTTTCTTATTAGTTTAATAGTATATAGCTTATAGTTAGTTTAATAGTATATAGCTTTTCTTATTAGTATTATGTGCACGCGCACATTACAGGTTCCGTTAAATAAATACTAAGGCACGTTTTAGTTTAATGACAGTCTCCATTTTTTACTAATGAATATGTATTTTTCTTTATAAAACAAAACAAACTAGTATATAAAAACCTTGTATATTTCTATTATCTCTAAATTGTTTAAAGTTCGAATATGGATTGTATTTTGAAGGACAAAAGATTTACTTTAAAAACTTTTAAATCTTGGGACTTTGCCGATGCGATAATCACAGAAAAAGAGAAGACTTACGTTATTAAAATCAAATGTAAGTTATGTGATCTTCATCAAAATAAAATATTATCCAAAAACAATAGTGCCGTAAGGGCAACTGCCCAACGGTTTATATATAATACAAGTCATGTTAAAATATGTTACTATATTTTAATTAAGTTGATATAAAAATAAAAATATAGTTCAATAAATAAATTAAATTTATTCTTAACAAAGATTACCTCATATTTATTCTTTTTTTTATTTTATTAAGTTAAATTGCTTACAAACAAAAAAATAAAAGAGTTTTGTAATTATACGTAGAATGAAAATACTTTTGAGTTTGTTTATAAGTTAAGGAACTTAATTTTTAATAAACAAATTTTTACGAACATTTATTATAAACAGATACAATTCAAATTATTAAATATACTTAAATTATTTCAGTTGAGTATTTTTTTTAAGTTTGCACGATTAAAGTTTGGCGTAGAAGTATTTGTTTTTTTGTTTTAAGAATAATTAACAAAAGAGTTTGCATAGTTAAGACTTTTATATTTAATTTAATTTTTTTTTTTAATTTCCTAAAATTGAAAAA